ATCAAACTCACATGGTTTTGCTACGGCATGTTTAGACAGGCGCACGCTCGCGGCCAAGCGGATTCTCGACAATTATGTTTTTTTGTTTGTCAACGATGTCATCGCATTCTGCTTAACGGGCCTCTCGCGCCGCATGTCGAATTCATTCGCGCGCCCTGGCGAACGCGGGGGGGGGGGGGGGGGCGCGAACCGCGTCAAATAATGCAGCGCGGGCCACTCGCGCGCGTCGGCCGATTGCGCATGCCGAACATCTTCAAAGGCTTCATCACCGAAGAGAGCGCGTCGTCATCGTGATCGGCGGGGGCGACCAAAATCGGCGCCGTCATTGGCCTCGCCGTCGTCGTCGCCGCCATCGCCGCCATCACCTCTACGCTCATCATTGCGCCCGCCGTCGTCGGCGTTGCCGTGGTGCCGCGCCCGCCCAAATCTGGGGCCATATCATGTCTGGGAGTGCGGATCCAGGGCTGATCACCACATACGCACAGGTTGAGGAGTCGTAGAATGGGGACGATTGTCTGGGGCGATTACCAGATCGACCCGTTGCGTAAGCGCCAGGAAGAGAAGGATCAGATGAGCAATGGCATTCCCTCCTCCAACTTCGCTGTTGACCATGATGATTGTGATGTCGATGTCGATGCTGATGATGATGATGATGATGATGATGCTGCTGATGATGATGATGATGATGATGATGATGATGATGATGTTGATCATCATCACCAACACCACCATCAACAGCTTTGCCACCATCATCACAGCCATCCTCATTACCATCACCATCACCTCCGTAACCACTACCATCATCATCATCAGCATCATCATCAACATCATCATCATCACTATTGTCATCATCATCAGCAGTAGCCGCATCATCACCATCACCATCATCATCATCATCATCATCACCATCAGCATCACCAATATAATCAATTTCATTCTTCATCACCATCATCATCATCATCTTCACCATCATCATTATCATCGTCGTCATCGTCATCGTCATCGTCATCGTCATCGTCATCATCGTCATCATCGCCATCATCGGCATCATCGTCATCATCGTCATCGCCATCGTCACATTAGGGGTGCGAGCAAGAGTCTTGAGCCTCGTTCAGGGAAGCATATTTCGCTCAAGCAGCGGTCCTCACAGCAACCTTTTTTGTACACCCTTGCTCCCTCCCTGGCCCCGTCGGGGCCAGGAGAATGGGCCGCCCTGGGCGGTTAGCACACGCGCTCGGTCTGTTGTCGAGCTCGTGGTTCTAATGTCAGCGTTGGTTGACCCTTTCTTTGCCTTTCGGGTTCGCGTTCCCGTTCTTATGGGTTCGCGTGAGGTAAGCTAGGACTTGACACGCTATCATACATGGCGTCGCCATCGCGATCATGATGATGATGATCATCAGCATCATCATTATCACTATCACCACAATCGTCAAGCGTGTCATCATAAGCAGCAACACCGGCATCAGCATCCTCATCACCATCAATACCACCATTACCACCAGCACCGTCAGTACTGTTATACGTACACGTACCATCATCATCAGCAGCACCATCATCAGTATCATCACCATCAGCATCCTCATCACCATCATCACCACCATCGCCAACACCACCACCACCATCATCATCACCATAAACACACCATCATCATGATCTTCATCCTTTTCCGCATCATCACCATCGGCATCATCATCGTCGTCATACCCATCATTATCATACTCATCGTATCGTCATCATCATCATCATCATCATCATCATCATTGTCCTCATCACCATGACCACGGCACTATTACCATCACCGTCACCATCATCATCATCATCATCATCATCATCATCATCATCATCAGAGCCGTCATCAACATCATCATCATCCTCATCACCATAGTTGGCTCGAAAAATCTCGACGGACCTGTTGGTGCTTATTGCTCGGTTGAAAATTATGTTCTCGAAATTCAACCATTCGGTAGAGTTCTAATATTTTTCCCCGTGCTATTCGATCTTATTCCCGCTCGCCGTCTTAATATCAGCTCGATCGGGTATCTATTACTGCCAAAAAGCATCCGGGCGGGATCGGCTGTTTCGAGTCATCTTGACAGATACTGTCGGTTTTCTCAACTTAAATCGAGCTGTAGGATAGCTACAGAGCTGGTACGCCACGTAATCGATTCAGAATGATCAGACGCGTTCGTCTGAAGCATGTAGAGGTCTGAACTCGGTCTGCTACTCGAGCTAGGTCCGCAATTATTCGTACTCTACTGATTTTTTGTTGAGATGATGATGAGCTTCTTTACTTAACTCGAGCTGCCGATGAGCTAGAGAGCTCTTGGGCACAGCAATCAGAAGGAAATAATCGGGCGCGCTAGTCTCGTTTTCATCACCATCATTATCATCATCATCAGCATAATCATAATCACCACCCTCATAATCGTCATCATCGTCATTATCATCAGCATCATCATCATCATCATCATCATCGTTATCGTTATCACCAGCATCACCAGTACCATCATCGTCATTGTACGCATCAACATCCTTCTCCTCATCATCATCAGCATCCTCATAATCATCGACATCATCATCATCATCATCATCATCATCATCATCATCACCATCACCATTATCAGCATCATCATCATCATCATCATCATCATCATCATCATATTCATCATCATCATCATCGTCATCCGTCGGCCTTTTTCCCCTCTCATTTCCGCATTGTTTCCTCGCTTCCCTTCCGTTCCCCGCACTTCCCCCCACGTATTCCTTTCACTCCGCCCCTTCCTGCGCCTCCCTCTCGTTGCCATTCAACATCTTATTAGAAACGCACACTGGCAGGAGGAGACCAGTAGTCGCCATGATTGCAAGGAGTTTTGAGGGTTGACGGATCCTGGAGATTGTTTTCAATTTTTTCGGCCCCCCCGCGGGCCTGTTCAAAGGCCTTGGGACCGTCAGAAACAGCCCAGGATAAAAGTTCGACCTGTTTTTCGTCATGCCAACGCAAGGGGGAGGAGGGATGAGGCGGAGGCGGAGGCAGAGGAGGAGATTGAGGAGGTGGAGGGAGATGCAGAGGAGGAATTAGAAGGAGGAGGAAGAGGAGGACATGGAGAATCGGGGGACGTCGGCTGACCACCTCCTCTCCTCCTCCTCCTTCTCCGCCTCCTCCTCCTCCGTCCTCCTCCTCGTTCTCTTCCTCCTCCTCCTCTTCCTCCTCCTCCTCCTCATCCTCCTCTCTCCACTGCTTTCCCCCCTGCTGACTCCTCCTCCTCCTCCTCCTCCTCCTCCTCCTCTTCCTCCTCCTTCTTCCTCATCGGGAGGGAGAGCAAATATAGAGGAGAGAGAGAGAGAGAGAGAGAGAGAGAGGGAGAGAGAGAGAGAGAGAGAAACCAAAACAAGAGATACGGCGGCTGTCATAGCCGGGGCTTCCAGCATGGCGCATCGGATGGATCCCTCGTCCTCACGCGGACCTTCCCTTACCCTCGTTCTCTCCCCCCTTCGTCCCTCCCCCCCTCCCTTGGCGCTGCCTCCTCGGCGGTGGCCGCGCCGAGGAGGGACGGGGAGGGCGGCATGCCGAGGTGCGCCGCTGCCGGGGGCGCCGGGGCTCTGGACGCCGCCGTGGCCGCCGAGCACGCCCCGCCCGAGCGAGGCCGGGGTCTTTTCTGGGTCGTCGCCGTCGGTGTCGCCGTCGCCGTCGGTGTCGCCGTCGCCGTCGCCGTCGCCGTCGCCGTCGCCGTCGTCGTCGTGGGAGAAGCAGCGCAGGAGTCGAAGAAGAGCCATCGACGTAAACAACTGTTTTCGGAGGTCCGCGCGGGTCTCTGAGATCTGCGTGGGACCCTCCTGGCGGCGCCTGAAGGGAGGGAGGTCAGGCGCCGACCACAGAAATCCGCGAGAACGTCCGCCAGCTTATATTGTGAAGGCCTTACGGCCATTGCCGCCGACGGGGGCGACCCCATTACATGCATGGAAAAGGGAGGGCGACCCCAACTCCTTGAAATCATATCAGAGAGCAGAGATCAAGGGGGAGGGTCGTGGGCAGGGCCTCCGAAGACCCCCGGTCTTGGCCATCGCTGCTGTTGCATTCGCGTCTCGCGCGGCCTGACCCAGCGAGCGAGGCCGCCTCCTCCCACGAGAGCCCGAAACGCCTCAGCCCTCGCTCGGCGTCCAGGCTCCTGGATCCCTGGGCGTCCCGAGGAGCCTGGACCAAGGGGCGGGGCAGGGACGTCCGAAGGGGAGGCCAGGGCCCTGGACCTCTCCCGACGGACGCTGAGCGAGGGGGGAGGCCGCGTTACGAATGACTCGGCTGTCCCCACATCTCGGAAGCTTGCCCTGCCAAGGCAAGTCCACATGCTTGCAGCGGCCCCTGCTGGGCCTGCCGTCACAAGGGGCGCGGATACCAGCCCTGGCATCGGGTCCGCACGCCGAACACATCAAACGAGTGTCGGTGAGCTCGTGCTCCCGACCGTCTCTACCTTCCGCCCACCACAGGCTGTGTCCCCTGAAAGCCCAAGAAGCCTCCAAACACTCCCCCCTAGTGTCCCCCAAGAGCGGGATGTGGGGGGGGAGGAGGAGGAGACCCCCTTTCCAGCACGGGACTCGGGATGGGGAGCCCCAGGACAGCCGCGAGGGGCACTCTGGTGAGCCACTCTAGCCCGTCATGGTCGGCCGCTTGGCCAGTTTTTCTCATCACCTGCTGGGTGGACGCAAACCCAGCAGCTTCACGGGCGAGAGAGGCACATCCTTCGATCACCAATTGCTGGGCTTGCGGGGCTCTAAAGGGCTCAGCACCTATCTTAGCTAGCCGATCATTATTCGCATTTCCATGACGTTGCTGGTGGGAGATGAGGCCCTCCTGGACCGCCTTCTGGGACTGGTGCATCGACCTTGTCGAAGCGAACTCCTTCTAGGGCCTCTGAGACCTCCGACCACCAATGGCATCTCATCCTGTTCTCGTCAGCTGAGAAGGGGAGCCTATTTCCAACCGAAACCGTAGCTTTGCAGTCCACATGCACTTCGACTACGGCCTCCAGCAACGCGTGCAGTCCCAGCTGCCCGACAGCGCAACTATCGCCGTCCCTGGAGCTCTGGTCTGGGGCCAGGGCCGGTGGGACGGCCCCATCAATGGCGTGGAGCAGGCCTCCGTTCTCGTTGACTACACAGGCTGACCAGCCTGCCACTCGGAGCCCTGGGTAGTTCCTCTCGTAGCATAACCCGTCCGTGAAAACCGTTCGGCAGTTCTTGCCTACGAAGGTCCCGTCATTGGGCCAGTTGATCGTTTGCAGGTAGGTCTCTTTGGGGTCTCGATGAGGCCGTCCGAGCCAGGCACTCGGGTCTGGGAAGATGCCACGCGCGAAGAGCTCACCCGCCTCCGACATCCCTCTCATGTTCTTGGCAGCTTGGCGTAGATGGTGACCCAGATGATCGCGCCTCCACGCGTCATAACCTGGGCGACACTCTCCTATGGTACAGCGTCCCTCGAGCTCCATGGCACAGTCTGCATGTCGTGTCAATATCTCTCACGTGCAATGCCATCCTGGTCTGCGTCCAATGCATGTTAGAGACCACATCCATGCCACGTGTGTGATGAGGTCTTGCTCAGCAGCCTCTTGATCGGCCACCAGGAATATCGCCTTTTCACGCCTGAAAGTCGCTCTGCCTGTTCTGCTTATCTCTGGTCGTGAACCTCCTGACTCCTTCGCGGATCTGTCCAGCAAAGAATTGTGGCGAGAATCTCGGGATAGACCATGAGCGACCCTGATCATCAACCAGCGCCTTGCCATGGAAATCGAAACTCCAGCCTATGGTGTCGAGGCTGGCCATCAATGCTGCGACGGGGCGCTTCACCTTGAGCCAGCGAGTGCGAGAGCGGAGCGCCTCGAGGCCGCGGTGGTAGCCAGCCTGGATCACATCCCAAGACACCTGGCGGTTCCACATCACACTCACGAAGTCCTTGGCCATTTGGACCGCGGTGACCTCGAGGGGGTCCCTTCTGGCCGAGAAGGGGTCGAGCGGGAATCGGGAACCGAGAGCACATCCTGGACGAAGGGGCCCAGCTGCTTTGGCCGCCTGAACTCGCAGCCTCCTGATGGACGTGCCCGCGAGGCCGTTGATTGACGATCCCCAGATGGCCTTGGCCAGAGGCCCCGTTCTGAAGACCCTCGAAACCGTCGCCCCCGTGCCCAGACGAGATACTCCAGATTTCGTAATAAAAGGAGGGGGGTCTCATTTCGGGGGGGGGTCTCTTCCAGGCTATCTTGGAGGGCCTGGGGGGTCCGGGGACGATATTTTGGAGGGTTCTCCCACGGGGGAGGTCTGAAATGGCTTGTCTTGGAAGGTCCAGACCCCCTCCCTTTTCTTACGAGATCTGGAGTAACTTGCTGGTCATCTTCGTGGCCGCGGAAGCACGCTGGAGCGCCTGTGGGGGGCCTGCGCTGTGGCCCGCTGCCGGAGCCCCCTCCGAGGTCGCCGTGGGCACCCGCGTGCGGGTCCGTGCTCGAGTCCCGGTCGGGGCTCTCGAGGGGCGCCTGCAGGGCCTCGGGGTTGGAGGTCATGAGCCTGGTCTTTCACCACCCACCAAGCCATCCCAACCCAACCCGAAGGCTCAGATTTTCCCTCGATCTCCAGCGGGGGGGTGGTTCGGGGAACGTCGAACAAAACACACGGTGGAACCCTTGCCCCCCCCAACCCGAAATGCGGGTCTTCGGGTTGGGTTGGGGTGGTCTGGTAGGTAGTCAGTCTTGCCCCCGTTGACGGGGAGGTGAACCTGGGCCATGCACTGGGCCACCTCCTTGCGAGCCTGGGTGGCGTGCCCGACAGAGGCGGGGAGCCCGCCTGCCGCGTGCGAGGCGGGGTCACTTCTGAGGCTGATGCTGCGGCAGGGAGGGATGGAGGAGGAGGAGGAGGAGGAGGAGGAGGAGGAGGAGGAGGAGGAGGAGGAGGAGGAGGAGGAGGAGGGGGAGGAGGGGGAGGAGCTCCCAGGACTGCGTGGAGCAGCGCCAGCAGCATCAGCTTGGAGACCCCAGTCGCACAGCTGCATCCTGCCACGACGGCGCCGGCGGCCTCAGTGGGGCCACTGAGGGAGGCCCCCGCCCAGCGTGTCCCGGGCACCCGTAGAGCACACCGCGCACGAAGAAGGCCCATGTCGAACGAGAAGTGCGTAGCTGTTTTTCGTAATCGCCCGTGTGCGATGTTCTCGTCGAGCTCCGCGATGTCGTAAAGCGTACTTGCCGGAGTTGAATCTTTTGCCCTGGCATAGCGCATACGTATGTTGTGTATGTAGCTGGTTCGGTGTACCTCGCAGATCGGCGCACCTCGCAGTATTGGTGTATGTAGCTGATCTGCGAGGTATCCTGTTTCGTTCATTGCGTGGGCGCGGGATGATCGCCCCTTTGAGGGGCAGCGGATCGGGCGGGCTTCGCGCAGGAAACAAACAGATGTAGCTGGCTCGGTGTGCTGTTGTCGCTGTGTCCTTCCCCAGAGCCCCCTGAATTGGCCAGAATCACTATGCCAGGTTTGCCATAGCCTGTGTTTTTTCGGGTGACGGCACAGTTCCGGTTACGTAGTGGAAATGGGACGGGGGGCGCCCCCCCCGTCCCATTTCCACTACGGGGGGGGGCAGAAGGAGGGGGGCAGAAGGGGGGGGGGCAGAAGGAGGGGCCTCACGTCAAGGCCAGGAGGGGGCAAAGCCCCGGAATCAGGCGGTGCCGAAGACGATGTGCTCAGGGGGGAAAAAACACACAGACACAATTCATCGTCGATGCCCCAGAAAGCATGGGAAAGTATGGGAAGTGGGGGGGGAAAACGATAACCGCGAAAATATGGCAAACTATGGAGAATCTGTTTACTTGTGTGTATTTATTTGTTTGTCCCAGGGCCCCTTCACTGATGATCGCCAGCATGGGCAAAACCTCTGGCTGCCGCCCCCAGCTGTCGAGGACATCGACCGCTCTCTGTCTCCCAGGGCATCTTCTCGAAGGGCCGAGGACGCAGGGAGGCCCAGCCCAGCGCCGTCCTGCTCGGAGAGGACGGCAGCGCTCCCAGGAGCTCCTCCGCCAGAATGGGGTGCAGCTTCCACTCGACCTGCAAGGTCGCTGGGTGTGGGTCGTTCTGCCTGGACTCTGCCACCCGCAGCAGGTTCCAATCGTCCAGGATCTGTTCCGCTGCTTCACTGCCTGCCACTGGTAACTCGTCACGAAGTACTGGCGTGTCTTCTCGTAGCCGAGGCTCGATGACCGCGCGGGCGATCTTGCAGTTGCCGTCGCGCGCCTTCGTGCAGAAGGCCTTCCAGTCCTGGTACTTGGCCGCTGCATCCTTGCTCGATCTTGCCGCTATCTCGCCCTCGATCAGCTCGAGCAGCTGGTGGTAGTGCGCGGGGTTGCTTCTGCCCATTTCCAGCCGCTTGGTCGCGTCCTTGGTCTCCGGGACCCCCGTGGGCGTGATGGGATCGAGTAGCTCAGGCGCCTGCAGCTTCGCTTCCAGCCCTCGGCGATGCCGTTTACTGAGCTGCTTCTTGGGCCGCCTAGCCACCACCGCCAGGCCTGTGGGATCGGCGTTCTGTTGGCCCTGTGCCCAGGCACAGAGCCTCCTCCACATCCTGGCAAACGATCTCCAAGCCATCGTGTCGGACCTGCCAGTGTATGTCTTGAGCTCCTGGACCTTGTCGAGCATGGCCGCTTTGCGCCTCTTGAGGCCCTTCGCCCTGCCACAGAAGCACCCTTGCTTGTCGCCCGGGATGTCGAAGATCTCGCAGGCCTGCCTCTTCGTCCCTTGGTGCCGCCGCCCGATCTCGTCGTCGAAGCTGGCCCCCTCGTTATTCATTTCTTGTCTCCCAGGGGCAGTGCACCGCCGAGAAGTCGGCGAGGGGGTGCGTCCTCGTCTGCCTCGGGGATCTTTTGGGGGGAGCGCCTTCGGCCCCGCCTGCCCCCGCACGTGGGGCCTGTGCCATGGGCCTTTTCGGATGCAACTCCTGGGAGGTCAAATTCTGATTTTGCCCTGGTCCGAAATCCGGCCTAATCCGGCTTAATCCCGCTTAATCCAGCTTAATCCCGCTCAATCCCGCTTAATCTGGCTTAATCCCGCTTAATCCGAGGCCCACTCCGGCGCAAATGCCCCCCTATGAGGCTTCATCCTATTTAATCCTTCCGACGAAAACCTCCCAGTAGTTGCCTCCTAAGGCCTTCACAAACTCCACCGTCGCGGGCGTGCGCGGGTCGAGCGGGGCATCGTCGAGGGCCTTCCCCTCGTGCTGGACGGTCGCGAGCACCCGGGAGCACGCGAAGGAGTCGTGCTCGCTGCCTTGACACGTCGGGGCCCCTGTCGCGATGGCCACCGCCTTGGTGTCCTCCGATAGTAAAGGTGTTCTGGTCGACTTGGGAATGCAGATCTCTTGGTTCAGACATGAAAACGGATACGTTTGAGGTCTTGGGGGGGGGTCCGCTCTCCAGCAGCTCTTCAGGCGAGACGCTCCAGTCCCCCCCAGGATGAACGGGTAGGGTGGCGCCTGCAGCGTGGTGACCACGTATCCGAGGAGCGCCTCGTTGTCGTCCACGACGCCGATGCCGTGCGTCAGGTAGGCCAAGCCTATTACCACCACCGAGCCTGGGCCTAGATACCAGCTGCCTGAGGATGAGCCGATACTGCCACTTGCTGGGATGTTCACCACCTGCTTAGCTCCGATCGCCTGGGAGGTCATGATCGCAACTCCCTCCGACACTGCTTGGATGTGACTGGACTGCCTGAGTGTCATCCCTACCGCCAGCGAGTAGGCGCCATTCCGACACCACTGATGAGCTGACTGGACGAGGTGGTCATGCATGAACCTCGTCTCCTGCACCAGCACCACGTGGAGAAGGGTTGCTTTGCCTTGCCACCATCGGAGCACATCCTGCGTAGAGGTCCAAGTATTGCCATTGATCGTGCCGATGCTGAAGGGAACGTTCTGGTCCAAGGGCACTACAGGCAGGAGCTCGTCTAGGCAGATAGCTTTCGAAGCGTCTAACGTGTCAGGGCCAAGCGCCAGCGTCCTTCGTGGCGACGGGAGCACGTCCACCGCTCGAGGAGCCGTGTGCCTGCGTTCCTGACCTGGCCCATTTTCATCATCATCCTCCACTGCCGTCTCGATTGTCTCCGGCACAAGAGCTGTCTCGGTCCTGTCAGCAGCGGCCTCGCCGATGGTCTCCTGTTCGCCACTCCACCACACGGGGCGGTCGCGTGGCTGTGCCTGCCTCGGGGGTGGGGGGTCTTAGGGTGCTCAGTGAGCTGGACGAGGAGGAGGAGGAGGGGGAGGAGGAACACAGCAGGAGGAGGAGGAGGCTGAGGACGCGGTGGAATCAGGATGGGGAGTGGGAACAGGGCCAGGGGGACGACGGGGGAGGAAAGATCAGTAGCAAGACGAGGGGAATGGGAGTCGGAGGAGCAGGAACAGAAGGAGGACGTGGAGAAGGGAGAGGAGGAGGGGCAGGAAAAAGGGAAGGATGGCACGGAGGAGGTCGATGTAAGGTTGCGGAGGACCAGAAGAAGGGTCCACGAAGGAGGTAAGGGAGCATGAGGAGGTTGATGATCAGGAAGATGAGGATGATGAGGCGGAGAATGCGAAGGAGGGGAGTGAGGAGGTGGGCAAGGGTGAGGAACAGGAGGAAGAGCAGGAGGAACAGGAGGAGGAGGAGGACGAGGATATGGAGGATGAGGAGGAGGAGGAGGAGGAGGAGGAGGAGGAGGAGGAGGAGGAGGAGGAGGAGGAGGAGGAGGAGGAGGAGGAGGAGGGGAGGACGAGGAACAACATGCGGAGGAGGATGAGAAGGGGGAGTTGGGGCAGAAGCTGGTCGAGAAGGGCAATGAGCAGGTAGAGGACGATGAAAACGAGGCGGAGGAAAAGGAGGAGGGTGAGGAGCAGGGGGAGGAGAGGATGTTTGTCGGGGTCTGTTCGCAGCGCTTTCGGGGGCCTCTGGTGGGCGGTTGGGGGGCGGTTTGGTGGAGTTTCGGGGGACTTTTGGGGGCCTGCATGGGCTTCCTGGGGGCTTCTCGGAGGCGTCTTCGAGGCCTCTTGCGGCCTCCGGGAAACTTCTCGGGGGCGAGGGCTCGAGGTCCGGTCGGGTCCCTCGTTGGGGCACCCTCTCGAAGCCGTCTTCACTGCCTCTTGGCCTGACTTGGAGGCGTCTCGGGCCGTCTTGGGACCTTCGTGGGCCATGTTGGGAACCTCTTGGAGGACTTTGGGCCGTCTTGCGGCGATTTTTGGGGCCCCTGGGGCCGTCTTGGAGCGCCGGGAATAGAAGAGGCGAGAACGCTACAGTTCGTCAACAAACCTAGGGAAGTTCATGAATTTTGCCATTGGGGGCCTTCTTGGGAGTGCTCCCGGAGGCCTCTTGGAGGGCGTTTCGCAGGCCTCACAGGCCTTCAGGAGGCCGGGAAGGCGTCTTGGACAGATCGTTTGGCGATGCGGGGCCCTCTTTGGACCGTCTTGGGACCTCTTCGGGCATGCTTGGTCCGTCCTGGAGCTTTTGTCGGACCCAGGAACTCCCGAGAGGGCTGCGCATCTGGGTGGCGACCCCTCCCGGGTCCAAGGCACGTCTCACCCTGGGAGCTCTAAGAGCCCCCAGCATTGCAGAACAACAAGCTGCCACGACAGCAGGAAAAAAATCCGCACCATTCTGGAGCGTAAATCTGCGAATAATTTTCGGCAGATCTCGCTTCGCGAATGCCTTTTCAAAACCCAGGTGAAGCCAGGTTTAATCTTCATTCGCTCTTGCGGGTTTGGGGGGATCTGGGACTTCCCGGGAGGGATGCGTATTTGCGTGGCGACCCCCCCTTGGGACGGACCGAAACGTACCTCCACTGGAACCGAGGCGTATCTCCCCCGTGCCCCCCCCCCCAAGATCTCCCCCCGACGGCGGAGGGATCAAAAGGAAGGCGGGTTCCCGTCGATTCAATTACGACGTTACTCAATTTCGCTTTGGCTGGCGCGCTTTGGGAAGAGTGCCCAGGAAAAGCGGGGGAGCGGCGACGGGCCCAGGGAAAGGAGCCGTCAGAGGACGCACAAGCCCCTCCCACACGCCGACGGTGTCGGCGGATTTGTGCTGTGTGGAGGAGAGAAGGAGGAGGAGGAGCAGGAGGAGGAGGAGGAGGAGGAAGAGGAGGAGGAGGACAGCGTGGATGGCAAGCAGCAGCAGCACGCGGACGAGGAGGAGGAGGGGAGGCCGCGCACGAGAGGGGTGCAGGAGATGACGGAGCCGGAGGGAGGAGTAGCAAGAGGCCTGATGAGAGAGCAGGAGGCATGACGAGGAGCAGCAAGAGGCATGATCCTGGCATCGCTCGGGCGTGTGCATTTTTTCTCGGCGAGAACCATCGAGGACCATCCTGGATCATCGAGCAAAAAAAACACGCACGAGACCGAACAACGCACGGGAAATGGACGTCCGAGCGACGGCAGGTGATTAGGGGAGCAAGAAGTGACATAAAACACTCGGAGGTCCGCGCGGATTTCTCGCATCGGCGCTGGACGCCCCTCCCTG